AGACTGTACCCTCAACCCTTCGATGGTGATCCTGACCCTTCAAGGCCTTAGCCTGTGGTCTGTGCACCCCACCCCCACCTTAACCCCTGCCTTCCCCATGGCCAAAAGCATGACCCCTGCCCCTGGGACTATGGTGCCTGACCCAGGGCCAGCATTTCCTCATCCTGTCAAGCCCCTGACCTCAGGTCTACATTGCTACCTTTCCACCTCTAGGCCTAGCCTATGCCCTCCTGGCTGGACTGCCTCCTGTGTTTGGCCTGTACAGCTCCTTCTATCCTGTCTTTGTTTATTTCCTGTTTGGCACTTCCCGGCACATCTCTGTGGGTGAGTGGAGCCAGGCCTAGCCTTGCAGGAGCATGCCCACATTCCCCGTGGGGGATGTGGGGGGGGGGGGGCTGTTGAACAAGGCAGAGAGACCTGGAGAAGAGGGAGGGAGGCATTAGTGTTGGGCGTTCTAGGTGGGACTGGGCCTCTGACCATGCAGACGCAGATTCAGATTATTAGAGGCCCTGACCCAGGAGGATGTGGGTGGGTGAAGCCACTCGTGGGGCCCAGACTTGGCACAAGTCTGAAAGCCTGAGTCAGACCATGCCCCCTTCGCCGTTCCACTCTTCACTAGGGGACCCGTCATGAGCATGTGGACACAGCCTGGGCAGGGGAAATGATGCAGGGTCAAAGTGTCTAGGCACCCTAAAGAGCCTTGGAACTTGGGGTGCATACCTGACCATCAGCACTGCCCTCTATATAGACTGGGGACATTTGTCTAGAACTGGGTGTCTCCTGGTCGCTCCCTTAAGACCCGGGATCCAGGGCAGGTTGTGTTCTCCCCTCTTCAGACCACCCTGATCTGCCCCTACAGGCACCTTTGCCGTCATGTCCGTGATGGTGGGCAGTGTGATGGAATCGCTGGCTCCGGACAATGCCTTCATGCTGGACTTGAACTCCACACTCGATGTGGCAGCCAGAGACGCTACCCGGGTGCAGCTGGCCTCCACTCTCAGTGTCCTTGTTGGCCTCTTCCAGGTGCAGAGCCATCAGGAGTACATGCCCCTGACTGCCAATCGCGCCCCACACCCCCACCCCACCCCATCTGATAGTTTTCTCTGAGTGTCTGACCATCACCTCCCCCTCATCGCTCATGATCCCACCCACCCTAGGCTCTGCCCCGGCCACCGCTAGGACCCTCACCTCCGTGACTGTCCCGTGCACCCCACAGGTGGGGCTGGGCATGGTCCACTTCGGCTTCGTGGTCACCTACCTATCAGAGCCTCTGGTCCGAGCCTACACCACGGCCGCGTCTGTGCACGTCTTTGTCTCGCAACTCAAGTATGTGTTTGGCCTTCATCTGAGTAGCCGCTCTGGACCGCTGTCCCTCATCTATGTAAGTGAGGGCGGGGGGGAGGGACAGGTGGAGGGGCCCAGGACCGGGAGGGCTGGCTGTGACCCCGCCTCCCCTCAGACAGCACTGGAGGTCTGCTGGAAGCTGCCGCAGACGGTGGTCGGTACTGTGGTCACTGCCATAGTGGCGGGAGTGGTGCTTGTGCTGGTGAAGCTGTTGAATGAAAAGCTGCGACGACATCTGCCCATGCCACTCCCCGGGGAGCTGCTCACGGTTGGAATTCCGGGGGCCCCCTGGGGGTGGGGGTGGGGTGGGGGATGATGTTGTGGGGTAGGGGGGTGGTGGCAGACTGGGGGAAGGGTAAGTGAGGAGAGTCTCTGCCATGTGGGCATCCCCCAGGTATTTAGAAACTAACTGGAGTGGGGACTGAAGACGGGGTGGCAGGGAGGGGGGAGCCCCAGCAGACAGCCCCTGGCAGCATCTCCCTTTTCTCAGCCTATCGTTGACTTCTCCCAACCCCTCTGAAGTTTTCGCTTCAGGCCTCTCTCCTTACCCCCCCAAGTGGTTTCTCTGGTTTCTCCCCCCTGCTTCACGGTGGTGGTGCCAGGCCCTGCCCTGACCGTGTCTTCTCCCCGCAGCTCATCGGGGCCACAGGCATCTCCTACGGCGTGGGCCTGAAGCAGGCATTCGGGGTGGACATCGTGGGCAAAATCCCCGCGGGGTGAGCTCCGGCCCCTCTTGGGTCAGGGAGGGTTGGGCAGCCAGGCCCAAACCTTCCTTTGGCCTCACCGATGCCCCTCACAGGCTGGTGCCCCCGCAGGCCCCCAGCCCCCAGCTGTTTGCAAAGCTCCTGGGCAATGCCTTCGCCATCGCTGTGGTCGGGTTTGCCATCGCCATCTCGCTGGGCAAGATCTTCGCCTTGAGGCACGGCTACCGGGTGTATAGCAACCAGGTCTGGGGAATGGGATGCGGGACACAGAGGGGGCAGGGGTCCCCAGACCCCAGGCCCTGGGAAGGAGTGGGAGGATGGAGTACCAGGTGGGAGACAGGGAAGGAGCCCACAGATGTGCTGGGGCTGCGTGGGGGGCACGGGACAGTGGCCGAGTCTCTGTGGGCTGCGAAGTGGGCATGGAGGTGGGGGTGCGTCGGCCTGGACACGGTGACCCCACACTGCTGGTGACGCGTGCTCACTCCTCACTGCCCACTCAGGAGCTGGTAGCTCTCGGCCTCAGTAACCTCATCGGGGGCATCTTCCGGTGCTTCCCTGTGAGCTGCTCTATGTCTCGGAGCCTGGTACAGGAGAGCACCGGGGGCAACACACAGGTGGGCATAGGTGTGCTTCTGCGCACATGCATGCTGCTTTGCTGGGTGGTCCTCCCTCGTCCCCCACTCCACCTGCCCCCCTTCCTCCCAGCTCTCCCCCCTTCTCCCCTGCACTCCAGCCCACCCGCCCTGCTCACTCCCACTCCACAGGTGGCCGGAGCCATCTCCTCCCTCTTCATCCTCATTATCATCGTCAAACTGGGAGAACTCTTCCAAGACCTGCCCAAGGTGAGCCCCCAGCCCACCCAGCTAGGCTTGAAGGCCTGGGCCAGGCCAGGAACTCAGAGCAGTCCATCAGATCCCCGGAGACAGGGAGGAATACAGATCCCAGGGGAAGGATACAGGGTCACCCCCTGATTGTCAAGTTGGAAATCTCTGGGGAAAGGTTTGGGGTGGAGGGGCAGGGGTAAACACCTTTGAGCGTCAGAGCCCAGGTGAGGGTCCTACCGGGTGCTCCAAGACAGTCTGGCTCATGCGGCGGATTCAGGGTGGTCAGCAGCCAGCACCTCTCACTAGCCCCTGGTGACCCTCCCCGTCCCCTAGGCAGTCCTGGCTGCCGTGGTCATCGTGAACTTGAAGGGCATGGTGATGCAGTTCACTGACGTGTTCTCCCTCTGGAAGGCCAATCGAGTGGATCTGGTGAGACACCTGGGACGCTGGGGATGGGGTCAGGGCCCCTGGCCCCAGTGACCCTGCTGCAGCCTGTGGACTGTGCCCCTTCTGTTTTTAGCTCATCTGGGTGGTGACCTTCGTGGCCACCATCCTGCTGAATCTGGACCTCGGCCTGGCTGTAGCCATAGTATTCTCCCTGATGCTTGTGGTGATCCGCACCCAGATGTGAGTCACCCCTGTGATGTCTGCCCCCTGTTCCAGCTGGTGAGGGGACAAGGTCCCCACTGGCTTCCTCCAGCTTTCCCGCATCTTGTGGCAGGGGAGGGGACCCCAGGCTCCTTAGAAAGCCCTCATTGCCCCCTCTCCTAACGCCCCCTTCTTGTGGCACTGTCTCCTTCTACAGGCCCCACTACTCTGTCCTGGGGCAGGTGCCAGACACGGATATTTACAGAGACGTGGCAGAGTACTCAGGGGTGAGCAGCAAGAGCTAAGCCGGGGGATGACACGGACGGGGAGGGATGGGGCAGACTGGGCCATCCCTTATCAGCACCTTCCATGCCTGGCACGGGCAAGGGAGTGGGGTGGGGTGCTAACGGTGCTTTGGTCCTTGAAATTTCAAGAGAGGAATTTGGAGTCCCCCTATACATACACTCGGAGTGTGGGCCTTGGGGCCCGGGAGTGGGATCCATCTCAGAGGTAGCAGTACAAGCCCCATTCTGCAGAATAGCCCTGGGTCAGGAATGCAGAGGGGCAGGATCCAGGGCACCAGGATGTAAGGGAAGTTGTTTCCGGATCTTATCAATGCGGTTACTGTCCTTTACCTCCTGAGAAGTGTCATGCCAGTTTCTGAGAACAAAGGCAGGGGCTCCGGAATCAAACCAACTCATTTCCCCTCATGGAGACTTGAAAGTTGAGCCCAGTACATGAGGCAGAGTGGGAGGGTGGGTGGGGGGGACATGCAGGAAGGAGCTCAGCTGGATGGAAAGGGAGGTAGGGGAAGTGGGGGTCGGTGGGGAGGGCAGGGACATGGTTCTGACCCAAAGGCCAGGCAGAAACCTGGAGTGTCCTGAGTGGCGTAGGAGCCGGGAAAGACTTGGGTGGTCTAGCAGCTGTGGAGGAACTCTGTCTGCATGCAGGACACAACCCCCCCAGTGCTAGGGTTGAACACCCAAGCAGAAGCTGAGGGCCCCTGAAACCTGGCCTGGCTAAGAAGCTTGCAGGATCTTAGTTCCCAGACCAGGGATCGGACCCATGCCCCTGCAGTGCCAGTGTGGAGTCTTAACCACTGGGCCACCAGGGAACTCCCCCGGCCTGGGTATTGGCAGAAGGACTGGGGGATGGAATGGGAGAGGCTGAGGACCCCCTGGAGGAGAAAGAAGCTCTGACAGGCCCTGCTGAGTGGTCAGGATGGCCTCACCAGCTCCGGGGGGGCATGGGCCGCAGGCTGGGCCTTGTGTTGGCTGGGCAGCAGAGGGTTGGGGTGGCTGGTATCCGGGCACACAGTGGGAGGAAAGAAAGGAGGGCACGATGCAGCTAGGAGAGACGAGGGCTCAGCCACCCCAACCTGACCTGTCCGCAGGCCAGGGAGGTCCCAGGCGTGAAGGTCTTCCGCTCCTCGGTCACCGTGTACTTTGCCAACGCTGAGCTGTACAGTGACTCACTGAAGCAGAGGGTGAGGCCTGGGGTTTGCGGGGTGAGGGCGAGGGGCAGAGGGTCCCTCCTCTCCTGCAGCCTGCACATCCCGTGCCCTGTCCTTCACTGCAGTGCGGTGTGGATGTGGACTACCTCCTCTCTCAGAAGAAGAAGCTGCTTCGGAAGCAAGACCTGAAGCTGAAGCGACTGCAGAAGGAGAATAAGCCCCCCAAACAGGCAGGGCCCTCTGACCCCTCCCAGGCTCCTGGCTGTTCACCCTCATTTTTCAGCCCTTCTCCTCGCTCCCTGGTGCCCCCAGGGACCCTGCTTTCCTCCCGTGGCAGATCAGGGCTCTAGGGAGAATCTGGTTTTTTCTCCCACCTCCTAAGCCAGTGGTGGCATGAACCATCACAGTCCTCTTCCCATAGTTGGTCACAACCCCACAGCCTTCAGCCTGGCTGCTCCAGGTCCCAAGCTTCAGTTCCTGGTCCACCTACCTACCTGCGTAAAGCCACGGGACAACGCCAGGCCTGCCTGGCCTGATTGTCACCTGACATCTTGGACACCTCTTTCCTGGCCCCTCCTCTTTCCCTGCCTAGGCTGCCACCTCCAAGGACACCTCCATCTCCATCAACGTCAACACCAGTGTCGTGGACATCGAGAGCAACAACGATGTGGAGGGCTCCAAGGCCAAGGTGAGACAGGGCGGAGGGGGGAGCTTCAGGGATGAGGGTGCCCAGGTGATCCCGGGAGGAAGTCCATGGACCTACCAGCTGTGGGTTCAAGGTTGTCGTGCCAGTGGCAGGAGGAGGGGAGTGATGGATCCGATGCTCTGCAGGGAGACCTCTTGTGATATGCCATAGACTTCTGCTTGGGACTCTCCAGTCTGTAATCTGATGCCTAGACAAAGACCTTGAATTTGTGGATCCCACAAGACTCCGCAGTCTGTGCTCATGGGCCGGGGGAAAGGGGCTGGTAATGTGGAAAAAATCTGGGGTCAAGGGGGACACCAATCTCAAGTAGAGACTCTGGTAGACATCAAGTAGGATGTCTGTGTGAGCACGTGTGTCTCTTCTGCTTTGTTCCTGCGCCCCCCACCCACTCCACTCTGGCCCCCTGAGAATGGGGCATTGTCTCCTGATCCCCTTCCTTCTTTTTCTTCTTTAAATAATTTTTATTTGCTTATTTATTTTACTCTTGGTCATGCTGGGTCTTTGTTGCTGCGTGGACTTGCTCTAGCTGCGGAGGGCGGGGGCTCCTCTTTGCTGCAATGCACGGGCTTATGGCGGTGGCTTCTCTTGCTGCGGAGCACAGGCTCTAGGCACACGGGCTTCAGTAGTTGTGGCGCACACCTTAGTTGCTCCGTGGCATGTGGGATCTTCCTGGATCAGGGAATGAACCCAGGTCCCCTGCATTGGCAGGCGGATTCTTATCCACTGTACCACCAGGGAAGTCCTCCCCTTTCTTCTTAAATGTCCCTATTAAGCGTGGGCCCAGGCGGTAACAGAGCACGGTCTGTGTGTGCTCCCCGAGTCTGGGTGTCCTCTCCTGGGTGTCCCCATGTGTCCCACCTGTCTTTGCATACAAGCTCCCTGTGTCCATGTCCTCCTGTGTCCCCTTGCATTAACATGCACATAAATATGTTAATATGCACATAAATATTTGTGCATTTATGTGTGTGCTCTCTTGTCTGATTGTGTGTCTCCACACATCTGTGCATGTTCCCTGCCTTCACCTCTGCTCCCTGCCCTCCTTCCCTCCCACCCTCGCCCGCACCACGGGCAGCCCTTGCAATGTATTTGGTTCCCCAGGAGGCGAGCGCAGGGACTGAGCTAGAGGATACAGGAGCCTGGGCTCCAGAAGATGCCAAAGCCTCAGACATGTCCTCACTGAAGGCCCTGGGCCTGCCTCAGCCAGATTTCCACACCCTCATCCTGGACCTGAGCTCCTTCTCCTTCGTGGACACTGTGTGTCTCAAGAGCCTGAAGAATGTAAGGGGCTGGGGGCGTCCCTAAGCAGGGCCTTCAGGGAGGACAACCCTGATCTTCAACCCTGACCCTAAACTAGCTCCAAGAGCCCTCTGAGCCTGGTCCCCCAGGCCCTGAGCTACCCCTCTGAGCCTGGCCCACTTTCCTGCTGCAGATTTTCCGCGACTTCAGGGAGATCGAGGTGGAGGTGTACATAGCCGCCTGCCAAGGTGCGTGGGGTAGACACAGCGAGAGCAGTCCGGGTAGGAGGTGGGGGTTCCGGCCGAGGAGTCTGCCGGGCAGCACAGGGAAAAAGTCTTTCTCTGAAAACGGAGGTCAGAGGTGTCCTGGGAGGCCAGGGTCAAGGGTCACGAGCGGGGGATGAGCTATAAGCCATAGAGGTGATGGTTAGGGGGACGTTCTGCCGGCACCTGGGGGTTCCTGGTGGCTCTGGAGTCAGGAGAGACCTACTCGTTGCCCACAGCTCCCGTGATCACGCAGCTTGAGGATGGGCACTTCTTCGATGCTTCTATCACCAAGCAGCATCTCTTTGCCTCGGTCCATGACGCTGTCCTCTTTGCACTCCAACACCGGAGGTCCGGCCCTGTCGACCCTGTTTTGGTGAGTTGACCTCTGGCCTGTTGAGCTCTGTCTGTTTATCTCCTGCTCGTCCCCTCCTGACCCCATTTCGGGAAGTCCGCCCTTCCTGGATGACTCAGAATGGCTCTGTCCTGCGGGGACCCACCGCCTTCTCCTCCTCTCCCTGCCCAGGTTACCAAACTCTGACCCTGCGGCCATCCCGCCTGAGACTGCCTGCCTCTGAAGGTTTGACAGGGTACCCGTGAGAAACCCCCACCCCTAGGCTGCCTCCGGACGTCACCAGGAGTCCCCTCCGTGCACGCGCACTCACACATAACTCAGGGATGGAGGTCCTGGGACTCCAAGTTCAGTGCTCTAGGCCGGGGATGAGACACTGGCTGAGTTGGAGAAGCAAGCATGTTTTTAGCCTCAGGAATAAAGATTTGTTTGCCTGATACCAGGGTCTGCTGTGGCTTGGTGGGGCGAGGGTGTGGTCCGCAGCCCTGGCTTCAGACCCTTCCTACACCCCAAAGTTGGAACTGGAGTCAGATGTTGGGCGAAAAGTTTGGGGAGGGCAGGATCAGGCAGGGGGAGTGTGGAACAAGGAGAGTGTGAAGCTGGGGGGCCAGGCCCAGGGCGGGGGCATCCTCGGTCCACATTCCGCACCCCATCCACCCCCTGCTGCATGCAGCCCTCAGCACCTGTGTCCTCATCTATAAAGTGGTTGGAAGCAGAGCTGCTTCTCAAGAATGGCCTGTTCACAAGGACACCTAAGCAGGTGCAGGGCAGGCCAGGCTCCACTGGGTGCCCCCCCGGGCCATGCCGTGAACACCTGCATTTAGTGTTGCAGGTCTGCGGCGAGGAGAATGTGGGCATTCCCCGGCAGTCCCGTGGTTAGGACTCAGCTTTCACTGCCAAGGGTGAGGATTTGATCCCTGGCTGGGAAACTAAGATCCCATAAGTCCCACAGCATGGTCAAAAGAAAAAAAAGAATGCGCGGGATTGACTTACTTGGGAAAAAATTGCCTATTCATATAATTACACTATCTGGACTTTGCAGGTCACTGTCGGCCAAGAACCACCTGTTGATTTCGGCCATAAAACACTGACACCTGGGCGTGTGGCCCCGTGGACAGCAGTGGTCCTTTGGGCCAGCTGATCCTGAGTGATCAGGGCTAGGGTGAGGGGTCGAATCTTTCTGGGCCTCCGTCCTCCTCAGGAGAGAATGAGAAGAGTACCCACTTCATGGGTTGCTCAATGAGTATTCGAGTGAATGCACAGATAGCTTGTGGCAGTGGTAAACTCGCGTCACCTGCCAAAACACGTGAGCCTGCCCTTTGCAGGTGCTGGGCCAGGGGACGAGGCCCCCCCTTGCCTGGCAGTTTCTCTCCTGGCCTGTGTCAGTGCCCTGCTCGCATTCACGAATCCTCTGTCCTTGCCCCCACCCCCCACCTCCCTGCCCAGGAAGTCAGGGCGCTTTGTTTATGAGATCACACTGCCTGTCACCATGTCACAGCCTCCAGCCACAAGGAACAGTACCTGGCATCTGGAAGTGCTGGGTAAATACTGCTTAAGTGAAGCGTAGGTGCTGGAGTGGAAGGGAAACCTCAAACATGGACCTGTAGTTATAGGGAGACTTTGTGTATTGCGCTGTATTTTTCTTTCTTTCTTTCTTTTTTTTTTTTTTAACAGATTGAAGGTTTGTGGCAACCCTGCATTGGAGCCAGTCTGTTGATACCATTTTTCCAACAGTTGCTCACTGTGTGTCTCTGTCACGTTGTTATTCTCACAGTATTTCACACTTTTTCAATATTGTTATTTTGTTATGAGCATCTGTGATCAGTGATCTTTGTTACTGCTATGACTTGCCAAGGCTCCAATGACGGTTGGCAATTTTTAGCAATAAAGTGATTTTTTTTTTTTTACTAAGGTATGTACTTTTTCTTAGACATAATGCTATTCCATGCTTCATAGAATACCGTGTAGTGTAAATGTAACTTTTATATGCATTGAGAAACCAAAAAAAGTTACGCAACTCGCTTTATGTATTTTGGTGGGCTGGAACTGAAGCACAGAATCTTTGAGGTGTACCTGTACTTAGAGATGCTTTGAAGAAAGTAAAGCAGGGTCACGTGAGAGAGACGGGACTGTGTTACCCAGGATGGTTCTAGGAGGGAGGCTCAGGGAGCAGGTGACACTTGAGTTGACATCCAGTCATCTTTTTGGACAGTGCTTCTGGTGTAGGGTGTGTTCAAGGAACACCAGCGTGGTCTGCATGGGTCAGCAGGGGAGACCAGAGCACAGAGTGCCTCGCAGACCAGGTTGAGCCTTCAGGCTTTTTTCCTGAGAGTATGCGCCTGCATTTTTTGAGTGTTCACTTGTGGTCCTTGGGGCTGAGTCTGGGAAGCAGGGAGCATGTCTACATTCGACTTGATCAGCCTGTTGCCAGGGGTTGGATGCTAGGTGAGGAGGAGGGGAGAAGAGGCATGCCTTCAGTTCTGGGCCCCCAGCCTGCTCCCCCCATCCCATGGTTCCTGGCCACGCTGCCCCTCCTGAAAGCCACGGGCCCAGCTGGAACCTCCTGCCTCGCCCGCTCCCCCTGGGGGAGGGGTGTTTGCGCGTTGCCAGGCGCCCAGGTTCCGGCCCCTGGCACTTGCCGCAGCCATGATGCTCACACAGTCCTTCCTGCCGTGGCTGCTTCTACTGACGATGCCCGTCTGCACCCACGCCTGGTCACGGCCCATGTGGTACCAGGTGGGGCTGGACTTACAGCCCTGGGGGTGCCAGCCAAGCAGCCTGGAGGGTTGTAAGAGCAGCCTGGGCTGTCCCGGCTACTGGATGGGCCTGGGGACCAACCGCATCTACCCGGTGGCTGGGGTCACAGTCACCACGACCATGATGCTGATGCTCAGCCGTGCGCTGATGCAGCGGCGGCGTTCACAGGCCTCTAAGAGCGAGGTGAGCCGGGCTCGGTCCCCACCGCCTCCTACCTCTGTTCTACCCATCCCTCCACTCATGTCTCCTGCCGCCCCCCACCATCGCTCCCTCCCCAGGGGCCTTATGTTTGTCCACAGCCGACAGTCCCTGGCCATTTCCTGTGGGTGGTACCCTATCCCATCTTCCCCCTGGCCATTCCCATGGAGGGGGTACCTGTCCTATCTTCCCCCTGTAACATCTCTAGCCCTCACCCAGCCTGCATGGGCCCCAGACCACACGAGGCCACATCGGCCGCTCCCTGATCCTCCATCACCCTAAGCCCCCGCTTCCCACCAGACCTCTGTCCCTTCCCTATGTTCTCACTCCTGCCTCTCTGTCCTGTCCTCAGCACCCGCAGCTGACCTCCCACACCTGCGCAACTTGGAAACGACAGAACCCCATCTCAGACCGCGCCCTCCTCCTCGGTGTCCTGCATATGCTGGATGCCCTCCTGGTCCATATTGAGTGCCACCTGCAGCATCTAGCCACCCAGAAGCGTACCCAAATAAAGGGGACTCCCACTCAGACTGGGTGACCCAATGCTTTCCTCTCTCTGCCTGGTGACTTGTTGTGGCTTGTTGGACCAGGCTCAGGCCAGTGTGTCTTGGTTCTCTCCAGACCTGTCGGGACCACGTGGCCCTTTTCTACTTTTAGAGCCAGCAGACCCATCGAGGCCTCAGTGCCCCTCGATGGCGGGACAGGTGGGGCCTGGGCTGGCTCACACTGCTCCATCGCCCCCCATCCCAACTTGGCCCTCCTCTTTAGGGATCATGCTCACAAATACAACTGCTCCTCTGGGGCTTCTCAGGGCTCCCCAGTGTGAGTGGGAGGAGACTTGGCCATCAGGACAGATGTGGGTGGTCCAGGGAGGGCAGCCCAGAGGTGACCATGTGACTGAGTCAGCTAGGGCTCCTGGTTGAGTCTGTGGGGCCTGAGCTGGGGCTGGGGGGCAGAGGATGGGCCCTGGCAGCCTTCGTCTTTATGACATCTCAAACATGCGGAGGCACTTAAGTGGCTCTTGCTCTAACACCCCTCGGAAGTGGGATGAGGACTAAACTTCCCCAAGGGACCTCACCTTCCCCTTCCTACCTTCCTCTACCATAGGCTAGGCATCAGGATCTGCTGATATACAGAAGAGAACCAGCTCCTTCCTCACCCACTCACACTAAGGGGAGGGTGGAGGTGGTGGTGAAGCACACTCAAAAAGACAATTTCTCTGCAGAGAGGTATGCTGGCCCAGTTGGGGTGGAGCAGGGCTGACTGCTGGGACCTGAAGGATGAGTGGGGTGATGAGAGGAGAAGGAGTGCTCCAGGCAGAAGGATGAGCACATACAAGGGCCAGGTGGGGAAAGAGACTTTGACCTGTTGCAGGAACTGTAAGGTGGTCAGGATTTCAGGGGAGAGAAGGAACTGTGGGGCACAGGAGAGAGCAGGCTGGGGATGGGGGCAGGAGTTGGTCAAAGAGAGTCTGCAGGAGGCCAGAATAATAGTCCTCAAGATATCCATGGAATCTATAAATATTTTATAGTCCATAGCAGAAAGGATTTTGCAGCTGGAATTAAGCTGAAAGACATTACAATGGGAAGATTGTTCTGGATTATTTTGGTGGGCCCAGTGTAATTGCATGAGCCCTTAGAAGTGGAAGAGGAGAGCAGGAGGGTTGGTCAAAGGATGAGAGGTACTAATCCTCTGCTGCTGGCTTTGAATATGGTGGCAGAGATCTTCCACCACCCAAAGATCCAAGGAATGCAGATGGCCTCTAGAAGCTGGGAATGACCCTCGGGTAACTGCCAGCAAGAAAACAGAAACCTCAGTCCTTCAACCACCAGGATCTTAGTTCTGCCAACAACCTGAATGACCAAGGGCACATACTCCGCTTGAGCCTCCAGAGAGGAACACAGCTCTGCTGATGCCTTGATTTTAGCCCAATGACATCCATGTTGGATTTGGGGCCTTCAGAACTGTGAGATAATAAATCTGATTTCTTCTAAGCAATGAAGTCTCTGGTGATTTGTTGTAGCAGCAGTAGAAAACTACTGTGGACGCTGGTATCAAGAGTGAGAGGTACTGCTGTAACAAATCCTAAAAATGTGGAAGTGGCTGTGGAATTGAGCAAAGACTGAAAGGATGTCAGAGAGCACAGTTGTTGTTGTTCAGTTGCTGTGTCCAACTCTTTGCGACCCCATGGACTGCAGCATACCAGTCTTCCCTGTCCTTCACTATCTCCTGGAGTTTGCTTAAATTCATGTCCATTGAGTCAGTGAGCATAACAGAAAAAGCCAGAAGTGTCTTCAACCAGCTGTTAGCAGAAATGTGAACATTAAGAATGTTGCCAGAGAGGGCTCAGAAGAAAGAAGTTACTGGAAACTAGGAGTGAAAGGAATCTTTGTTAAATAGTCACGGGAAGCTTAGTGGAATCATAACCCATTTTGAATGGAAAGCAGAACTTGTAAATGATGAACCTGAATATTTAGCAGATGAAATTTCCAAGGGAAGTGCTGAAAGTGCTGCCTGATTGCTTCTTGCTTCAAAATGCTGCTGAAAGAAAGAAAATCTAAATAAATAGACATTCCATGTTCTTTGATTGTAGGACTTCATGTTGTTAAAATGGCAATACTACCTGAAGTGGTCTACAGATTCAAGGTAATCCCTATGAAAATCCCAATAGTGTTTTGTTAGAGAAATAGACATCACTTCATGGCAAATAGATGGGGAAACAGTGGAAACAGTGGCTGACTTTCTTTTTCTGGGCTCCAAAATCACTGCAGATGGTGATTGCAGTCATGAAATTAAAAGACACTTGCTCCTTGGAATGCAAGTTATGACCAACCTAGACAGCATATTAAAAAACAGAGACATTACTTTGCCAACAAAGGTCCTTCTAGTCAAGGCTGTGGTTTTTCCAGTAGTCATGTATGGATGTGAGAGTTGGACCATAAAGAAATCTGAGTGATGAAGAATTGGTGCTTTTGAACTATGGTGCTGGAGAAGACTCTTGAGAGTTCCTTGGACTGCAAGGAGATCCAACCAGTCCATCCTAAAGATCGGTCCTGGGTGTTCATTGGAGGGACTGATATTGAAGCTGAAACTCCAAAACTTTGGCCACCTGATGCAGAGAGCTGACTCATTTGAAAAGACCCTGATGCTGGGAAAGATTGAGGGCAGGAGGAGAAGGGGACGATAGAGGATGAGATGGTTGGATGGCATCACTGACACAATGGACATGGGTTTGGGTGGACTCCGGGAGCTGGTAATGGACAGGGAGGCCTGGCGCCCTGCAGTTCATGGGGTTGCAAAGAGTCGGACACGACTGAGTGACTGAACTGAATTGAACTGAAGAGAAATAGAAAAGCCCATCCTAAAATTTATATGGAATCTCAAGGGACTCTAAATAGCCAGAACAATTTTGGAAAAGAAGAACAAAGTTGGAAGACTCCTACTTTCTGATTTCCAAGATGTACTATAAATGTACTGGAATCAAAACAGTGTGGTACTGGCATATGAGTAAGACGTATAGACCAATGAAATAGAAAGCCCAGAAATAAATCTTCACATATACATTCGGTTGATTTTCAAGAGTGCCAAGGCCATTTAATGGGGAAAAGAGAATCTTTTCAAAAAATGGTGCTGAGAAAACTGAATATCCACATGCAAAAGAATGAAGTTAGACCCTTACCTTACATCATATAAAAATAAAAGTATCAAAGATTTAAATTCAAAAGTTAAAACTATAAAACTCTTAGAAGAAACCATAGATGTAATCTTCATACTCTTGGAGAAGGCAATGATTTCTTAAGTTTGACATTAAAAGAACAGGTAATGAAAAAAAATAGATAAATTGGAGTTCATCAGAATAAAAAATTTGTGCATCAAAGAACACTATCAAGGGAGTCAAAAGAGAGCTCACAAAATGGGAGAAAATATTTGCAAATTGCATATCTAACGAGGGACTAATATTCAGGATACCTAAAGAATTCCTACAACTCAGTGACACCAACCAACCAAATTCAAGAATGGACAAAGGACTTGAATAGATATTATCTAAAGAAGATACACAAATGGCCAATAACCACATGAAAAGATGCTCAACATCACTAGTCATTATGAAATTACAAATCAAAACCACAGTGAGATATCATGTCACCCCCATTAGGATGGTTATTATGAGGGAAAAAATGGAAAATTACAAATATTGGTGAAAACATAGAGAATTTAGAACACTTTTGCATTGCTGGCAGGGGTGTAAAATGGCACAACCACTATTAGAAAACAGTTTGGTGATTCCTCAAAATGACTAGAATTACCATATGATCCAGCAATTCCACTCCTCTGTAAATACCAAAATAATTGAAAGCAGGGTCTCACACAGATGCTTGTATGTCAGTGGGCGTTCAGTGTAGCATTATTCACAATAGCCAAAAGGCGGAAACAGCCCATGTCCACCTACATCATGCTAAGTGGAATAAGCCAAACATAAAAGGACAATGTGGAAAGACAAACAGGCATGCTGAAATTTTTAAGAGTTTATTCGATCAAAATTTGATCCAAATCAGGCGCATCCAACCTGGCAGATAGAAAAGAGCTCTGCCATTCCTTGGTGGTCCAGTGGCTAAGACCCACACTCCCAGTGCAGGGGGCCTGGGTTCGATCCCTGGGCCACAACTAAGGATTCTGTGGGTGTACGGCAACTAAGACCTGGCACAACCAAATAAGTAAGGAAATAGATAAACAGTAGAAAAGAAAAGAACTCCAAGGACCTGAACAAAAGTGGAAGACTTTTCTAGGTAAAAGGGAGTATGAACAAAGATACTATAGTTGGCAAACAAACAAACAAACAAGCAGTTGGTTATTGCAAATTTCTTGTCCTTTAGGGAATGGCATGGTTTATCAGGCAGATGAAGTAGTGTTGATCAGGTGATTCCTGCTCAATTGCTTTAAGAGTTAATTTCTAGGAGAGCCCAGGCTAAAATTAAGACTTGGTTTGGTGGCATGCAGCTTAGCTTAAGCGACTCTATTTTGGGCCTGTTATCTTTTAAACAACAAATACTGTATGATCCCAGTTAAACGAGGTACCTAGAGTAGAGAAGTTCATTGAGACAGAATGGAGGTTGTTAGAGATTCGAGGAAGGTGGAAATGGTTTGTTATTGCTTAATGAAAATAGAGTTTCTGTTTGGTATGACGGAAAGTTTTGAAAGTAGCGGTAATGGTTGCACAATATATATATATATATATTTTTGGCCACATAATGCAGCTTGCAGGATCTTACTTCCCAGACCAGGATCGAACCTAGGCTTTGGCAGTAAAAACACAAGTTATAACCACTGAACTGCCAGGGACTGGGCATTTTGAATGTAATTAATACCACTGTAATTAATACATACTTAACTGTAATAATTAAGATAATTATCTTTAAAATAATAAAGGTGCTAAATATTATGTACATGTTAGTGTGATTTAAGCACTAAAATAAAAACTCAAGACCGATAAGTTTGAGTGAGAAGAATAAGGTGAGTGTCAGAGCCCTCTCAGCCAGCCTACGTGAACCTGCTTTTTAGTTTAGAGAGTTTCTAGGGGGAATAGAAGGAGTCTCAGAGATGGATAGAGAAAGGGGGCCTAGTCAGAATTGCTGTTACAGCACTCCCCTGGTGGTCCAGTGATTAGGATTCCACATTGCCACTGCCAGGGGCCTGGATTCCACCCCAGGTTGGGGAAATAAGATACTGTGTATAGCACAGCATGGCCAACAAAACAAAACAAAACTGCTGTTACAAAAATCAGCTTGCAATTTAGGGGGGAAAAGATATTTTGATCTAACCTCTCTCCATCTGCCAAGTAGATTTCAGAAAATCAGTGACTCATCCAAGACTCTTGCCAAATCATTGCAATGACCATTACTTGTACTTGACCTTTTAGTAGCATTTCC